TTAAAAAATAAAATAAAATAAAAAAACACACACACAAAACAAAAAAAAATAAAAGCACCTCTTACACACACAAAAAAAAACAACCCACCAATAAATAATTCGTGAAACATTGTACCACATGGATGCATCTAGAGAACATTATACTAGCAAAAAATAAGTCAGTTACAAAGCACTATCATGATATAAAATCATTATCATAAAAAACTAAGGAAAGGTTTAAATGCAGAGTACTTTTGGATGGTTACCAGGGATTGGAAAGGAGAGAAGGGATTGAATATTAATAAATAAGGTGGAGGAAAAGAAAGGCAGTATACAATAGGGTTGATCAGATGTTACGTGATTACGTGAATCAGTTTTCATTCTATAAAGCAAAAGGTGTATGAATTAGTGAATGAAAACCCAATATGATTTATAAACTTTTGCTTATTAAAAGTAATAATAAAAAAAGTAAAGCTATAGTTATTAAGATGGTGAGACATAGGTCAAGATAGACAAATTGACCAATGGAACATAATAGTCTGGAGGCAAAGCTGCAATCCTACATTCATCTAATTTATGACACTCAGTACTTCAATGCAGTAGGAAAAGGTTGACCTTACCAGTAAGCTGGCCAATTGAGCACTCATACAGAGTGAGCATTGAAGAATTAGTGAGTGTAAAATGCTATTTTGATAAATTTTATATTGGGCATAAGATGAAAGATCTTTCCTTTTTACTAACAAACATTTATAGAGATGAAAAGAAGTCGCAAGTAGTACAGCTCTGAGAGGGAAAGAACACATCTCAGGTGGTTTTAGAATAACCCTCAGCCAGAAGTTGGCTAGACTGGGAGTGGACAAACCCTGATGTGCCTTCCCTGTGTGCTTCAGAACAGAGACTTGAGGAAGTCAAGTTCTGGAAGAAGGAGTTAGATGACAAACTTGAGCAGCTTGTGCACGAAACTGACGATCTACTGATATTCAAAATCAGGTTGGAAAAAGCCCTGGAGAGCTTAAAAGAACCCTTGCACATCACTCAGCTGTGCCTTGAGTACAGGTAGGAGGGGAGGTTCTTCGAACAAGTGTGTCATCTGCTGCAAGTAATGGAATGCTGGGTCCTAAAGGCTCATTGTACTGATTGGCGAGGTAAAATCAGGCAGAGGGGCATGTGTTCTTTTACTGCCTGAAATGATCCCAACATGCCTCTGATGCTGAGTAGTAGAATGAGTATTTGTTCCTTGATTTCCTTATCTCTTCATAGGCGTACTTATATATTTCTTCTCTCTATAGACTGAGTATTGAGAGGGTCAAACACCATCACATAAGTGCACTATGTAAACTAGGACCAATGTTGGCTGTATCAGGAAACTTTCAAATAGCATTATATTTAAATAATATAGACGTTCCTTTCTCTCTCACAGTTAAGCAGTCTAGAGATAGTCAGTTCAGGTGGCCCTGGGACCAGTTTAAAGAGTCCAAGCTTTTTCTCTCTTGTTCCATTGCATATGGATTTTGTTCCCAAGGTTACCTCATGATGTCAGGATGATAACTGGATGTTTACATTTCATCTATGAGGGACTGAAAGGCTTGGCCTTGATCATTTCTACTTAAATCTCATTGACCAGAACTTAGTTACTTCACCACATAAGTAGTGTTGTTGTATGCCATTAAGTCAGAACTGACTCATAGCTGACCCTCAATGGGTTTTCATAGCAACAACATAAAACAGCTTTCTAGATATGAAAGGAGTAGGAAAGGAAAGAGAAATGCATCTTTGAAATTCAAAGCCGAGCTTTGAACCAATTTAAACCAGATTGTTGTGGGTGATACAGTAAAACCAGAACTTGTAAATGAGGTTATACTGGAATGATGACTGGAATGAGAAAGTTACAGGGTGAAACCTTGCATTATGTAACTCAGAATAGGTACAGTGAGCTCTTTCAGAATGTTGTAGATTGATGAGATTGTTGCCAGGATTAGGGAGAGATACACATGTTCAGAGTGGTGTGGTTCCTGGCCACCTCTGAATGGTGCACTGGTGTTTCTGATTCTTATTTTTCAAGAGATTTGGTTCTTCTACACCTTGTGTGCTGCCCTTGTTTTCTAAGATGAGGATTTAATTTCCAGCAGTGTGCCAACCTATAATTTTTCTCATTCCAGCTATTGTTCTGATATTACCCATATTTTACAAATTCTGGTCCATCCCAGTTTCATTTTGTTGGCTATGACTGAACTGGAAAGAACCAGTTTGAAGCTTTGCTAAAATGATAATGTTTCCAATTCATAGGTAAGAAGATTCAAGCTTTAGAACTGGCGGTGAAATTTGAGGGGACAAAAGTCCAGTTAGCATTTTTTCATACCAAATAACCCATCTCAGAATGATTTTTTTTCCATTGTGGTTTTTTTCCCCCATTGTGTTTTTTGATATTCAGACGTCATGTAGACATCAAGTCATATACATCCCTCACGCGGACTGGGTAAAATGCTGATCGGTTGTGCATTTATTTTTACAAGCCCAGACCTCAGCCCATCTCTGTGCCCCTTCTCATTTTGGAACCCCTGCTCCTTTCTCTCGGTCAGGGAGAAGCGAGTTGGGATTGACTTGGTCCATGATGAAGTGGAAAAGGAGCTGCTGAAGGAGATTGAAATCATCCAGGGGGTGATGGCCGTGCTGACCCGCACCCTGGAGGAGACTACCGAGCAGATCAGGTGTGACTGATTGTCCCACGCCCACCTTCCCTGAAATCCACTTGAAATTCTAGAGAAGGCAGCATCCACAAAGACGGGGGCCCATGGCACAGAAGGAATGGGGGACAGTACTCTCCTAAGCACTTTCAGTGCCCCCAGGTTCCCAGGAACACTCAGGTGACATCCGTCCAATCCTTCATGTGTATGATACTTTCTGGTCGTGGGTGCTGATGGGGCACCATTTCACCCTGACTATAAACTGGGGACATTGGAGTTGTTTCCTGCCATGGCTGATCCTTTACATCCAGTATGTGACATCAGGAAAAGTCTCAACTGAAAGAGAGTATCTTGAAGTTAAGTTTTGGTTACATTAACTTGTAACCAAGCTTCTACTGGCCAATGAATGCCTTGATGTGATCGAGAAGGAAATGCCACCATCGTGTGCTCAGTTTCTTTAGCTTCATTTTCCAAGGTCACTTGAGAATTTATAGGTGCTCTGGTGGCCTATTGGCAAGAAACTGTGCTGCAATCCCAAAAGCATGTTGTTCAGATACCACGGGAGAAGGATGGGTGGTCTTCTTCTGTGTGATAAACTGCCTCTGAAAACCCACCAGGGTCAGCTATGGGTCAGTTCTGACCTGACAGTTCACAACACCCACCACTAACTGGTTATTCCAGAAGGAGAAACAGTTTCTCTTCTTCTTCCAGACTGAACCGTGCTGCGAAGTACAATCTTGAAAAAGATTTGAAGGACAAGTTTGTGGCTGTGACCATTGATGATATCTGCTTCTCACTCAACAACAACTCGCCAAATATCAGATATTCTGAGAAAGCAGTGAGGGTTGAACCAAAGTGAGTGTGTGCGTGGGCCCCTGCTTGCTGGTATGACCATGCTGTCTTCTTCCCCCGGTAATAAATGTCCCAGTGCTTTGTACAAGCAGGAACTGGTGCACCCCTCACCGCAGGCTGGGACCTAGGAAGAGGGTTGAGGACAAAGGCAGGTGCTGAGTGGGGATGACTTTTAGACAAGGCCAGAACATCCTGAGTCCTTCATGTTAGGTCCTACTTTAAGAAAATTTTATATGTTATTGTAGTTGTTGTTGTGTATCATTGAGTCAGGACCAATTCATTACTGACCCTCCAACTGGTTTTCAGAGGCTGTCAATTTTACAAAAGAAAATTGCTCATCTTTCTTCATGGACTAACTGGTGGATTTGAACTACATGCCTCTGGGTTGGCAGTGCAGCTCTTTACCACTAGGCCACCAGAGTTCCCTTTAAAAAGTAAAAGAATCTAAAAAAAACAAAAAACACAAAGAGCAAATTAAGATTAGCCCCAATTTTTCCCTTTTTCTCCCTTCTTTTCTAGTTTCTCATTTCCTGAGATTACCAAAGTTATCTGTATGTTTTTATAAGCAGATACATACATATATATATACTTTGTTTAGAAAAATGAAATTATATTAGATACCTGTTTCTATAATAATGAACTTGCTTTTCAAGTAACATATCACAGACCTAGCTCATTCTAATTTTTAAAACTCTTCTATTAAAGAAGTGTACGAGTAAAAGCACACATTTAAAAAATTACCATTGTATTTTTTTTATCCATTGCTTCATGACAAATGACCCTAAAACTTAACTAGCTTAAAACAACACACATTTAGTATCTGGCAGTTTCTGTGGGTGAGAAATCTAGTCAGTGCTTAGCCGGATGCCTCTGGCTCAAAGTACCACAAAGTGGTGGTCAAGCCGGGTGCTGCAGCTGCAGTCCCATCTGAAGGCTTGATGAGTCTGGGTTGGAGTGATGAATCCACTTCTCAGCTCACTCATGTGGCTGTGGGGTCCTCGGTCCCAGAGGCCTGTTAGGACATGGCATCACGGAAGTGTATCATTCAGCTCCAGAGGTCTGCAGCTTAGGGAGATGATGAATGGAGGTCACCTCATGAGAGCCTTTACGCCAGGTCTTCTCCTTCATTTCTGACCCCAGAAATAATAAGATCATGAATGTGTGTTGCTTTAAAGTGTTCGGTTGTAGAAGCTCTGGTAGCACGGGCTATAGCATGCTGTGTTTCTCACAACAGATTATTCAGTTTGGGGGTCATTTGTTAATGCAGCAGTAGATAACTAATACACAGTCCAAGACACGCTTTCATAGAGTTTCAGATTCTTGCCGCCCAGTCACATATGAGTCTTAGCTGACCCTCCCTTGGGTTTCCAAGGCTGTAAATCTCTAAGGAAGAAATTGCCTGCTCTCCTCCCTCGGAGCATCTGGTGAATTTGCACTGCTAGAGGGACATGGTCCTGGAGTTAGCAACTCATTTCTCTGTGGATATGCCACCAAAGCCCCCTACTTCCTTTTGAAGGGCTTGAAAAAAATATTTTCTTACCAAGAGTCATGATTAGGCTCAAATACATAGAAGCCTCAAGTTACAAAGTTGGCCAACACCCACGTGTGTTTCTTGGTCTCATTTACAGGCTCTGTTGTAGTTGATTGCCAGCAAGTTGTCTCCCTGCTCATGGTGACCCCATGCACAGTAGACTGAACCCCCGACTGGTCCACACCAGCCCATGATGGGTTGGGGTTTGGACTGTTGTGATCCATAAGGTTTTCATTGATGATCTTTAATAGGTTGCCAGGCCTCCCTTCCTGGCCCATCCTACCTTGGAAGTTCCACTGAAGCCTGTTCAGCACCATAGGAACATATAAACCTGCCACTGACAGGTTGTGCAACCCTGCTTGCTGAAACTGAGGAGGACCTGAAGCGCTTGCTGCAGAGTGTCAAGGACTGCAGCCTCCAATATGGATTGAGGCTCAATGTAAAAAAAACAAAGATTCTCACCACTGGACCAATTGGCAGCATCAGGATGGATGGTGAAGAGATTGAGATTGTTCACAGCTTTAGTTTGCTTGGCTCCACAGTCAACACTCTCGGCACCAGTAGCCAGGAAATTAAAAGGCGTATAGCCATGAGAAAATCTGCTGTTAGGGACCTCTCCAAAGTACTGAAGAGCAATGGTGTTTCTCTGGAGACTAAGGCACATCTGATACAGTCCATGGTCTTTGCAATCATTTGTTATGACCAAGGAAGATAGAAGGAGAATTGATGCCTTTGAGCTGTGGTGCTGGAGAAGAGTATTGAGGGTACCATGGACTGCTAGGAAAACAAACAGATCCTGGAAAGGGTTAAAGGGTGGCTTCTTGGAGGCAAGAATTCTGAGGCTCCGTCTAACATACTTTGGACATGTTGCAAGGAGGGACCAGCCCTTGGAGAAGGACATCATGCTTGGGAGGGTGGAGGGTAGGCGCAGGAGGGGAAGGCCCTCTTTGAGGTGGATTGATTCAGTGACTGGGGTAATTGGGATGGGTGTATCAGAGAGTGCGATTGGCACAGGACAGAGCAGAATTTAGGGCTGTTGTACATAGGGTCGCTATGAGTCGCAAGTGGCACATAACAACAACAGGTTGTGGCTGCACATGAGTTTTCCAGTTACCAAGCCTGAGTTTGTTACATGAATGGCAACAGTTCTTTGTATTTATTGCTTTGTATTTGTTGACCTGCATATGCATGAGAGCTAAGGATGATAAATTACTTTTACCTTTTAATCATAACTTGTGTTTCTTTTTTGTTACACAATACTCAATTCTGGGTCAAACTTGAAATAGGTCCACAAGATTTCAACAGAAGTGCATCCGTTTCTGACGTTTCAAGTAATTTTTTCTAAAGAAACAAACCAGATTTGCTTACACATGTAAGAAGTTGGAAGCCATAACAAAAGAAGCATTGCTTTTCTCTGAATTACGGGAGACGGTCCTTTCTAAATGATCCGCAACATTTCTAGGGATGGGTATTGTGGTTAGGTGCTGTCGAGCTGACTGTGATGCGTGTAAGTCTTGTAAACAACAGATGGAAACCTTGCCTCGCCTGCATCCTCCTCACAATCTCCATCCTGCTCAAGCCTGTGGCTGCAGTCACTATGTCAGGCCATCTCCTGGACGGTCTTCCTCTCTTTCACTGACCCTCCTCCTTTCCCAGCCTGATGTCTTTCCCCGAGGGTTGGCCCCTCCTGACATGTCTGAAATACATGAGATGAAATTTCTCCATCCTTGCCTCTAAGGAGCGCCCTGGTTGCACTTCCTCCAAGATGGATCTGCTTGTTCTTTTGACAGTGCAATGTATATTCAAGCGTCTTCTCCAACACCACAGTTCACCACCCCAGAGGCAGAATTTCTTTCTTCTGTCATGTGTAGTTATTGTTCAACTTTCAGATTTAGTTATTTTTCATCTTTCAGATGCAAAGGAAGCAATAAAAAAATGCCATGGCTTGATTCAGGTGTACCTTAGTCTTTAAACTGACATCCTTGCTCTGTATCACTTTAAAGAGGCCCTTGGCAGCGTATTTCTCCAGTGCAACAGGTCTTTGGATATACTGCCTGTTGATGCCATGGGTGTTGATTATGGCTCCAGTCTAAGAGTCGTCCTGTAAACCCCATCTAGAGTGTGTACAATTTAACTCAAGCTTGGGCAAAGTCACATTCTCAGGCTGAGCAAAAGACTCGGAGGAAACATTTTTCATCCGTTCATCCATTTCATCCTCCTGTTGAAAGGGAGGCAAAGTACACTTCAATTTCAATGAGCAAAAGTGAAAGAAACCCCGAATTGTTCGTGTCTCTCTTCAGTCTCAAACCTAAGCAGCTGTGAAAACATGCCAAACTTTTCTTCTGCAAAATGCTTTTCTCAAAGGTTCAAGCTCCTTTTAAATCAGAATCCTTTTAAAGAATATTATCTCTTGATGTCAAAACATTTTCTTTAAAGTTTTGGAGAGACATGTTCCACTTGTTCATGAAAACTAAAACCAACCACCCTTCATTTTAAAGCACTCAGTAAGACCGGCCGCCTACTCTGCTGGATTCACCTTTCACTCACATTCCCTGGTGAGGGCTGTCTGCTAAGCCACTTGACTTCTGCTAGTAGCAAATTTTTATATCTTTTCTCTAGGTTTTCATGCGATTTTAAAACATTCTCAATTGAGTTGGTCTTTGCATAATAAAGTCAACCATTTCTGTAGCAGCACAGGGAATTCATCCCCACAAGATTTCACACCTGTCCTCCTCTGTAAAATGGGGTTATCAGATCTTGCTAGGTTATTGTGAGGGTTAAATGAGAGAATGTGTAGAATATGCCAGCCCAGTGCCCCTAAATTGGCAGCTTTTGCCATTGATGGACAGCCATTCACTCTCTCCAGAGATGGAGAAATGATCCAGGTGCTTCTGTAGGTGCAGCTAGGCCAGGATCCCGGTGGATTTCCTGGGGCTTGTCCCTCTCCTTCCGCCCCCTGCCTCACCCACACACGCTGTGAATGGTACGTGGCTTCTGTTTCAGCTCCGTGAGTCTGGCAGACTGGTTGGATTTCTCCAACGCCAACGTGGAGAAGGCTGACAAGCAGCGCAACAACTCCCTGATGCTGAAGGCCCTTGTGGACCGAGTCCTGTCCCAGACAGCCCACGACTTGCGCAAGCAGTGTGACGTGGTGGACACGGCGTTCAGGATCGGACTGAAGGAGATCAAGGGTGCCAAGGACAAGCTGGCTGTCCACCTGGCCAAGGTGAGGCCTGGGGAAAACAAGGAGGAGAACAGTCAGGAGCTTTCCTGGGCCATGTTGTCAGACCTCTTGAGTTTGCAGTATTGTGTTAACTAATGAGTCAGACATATGATGTCAAGTCTAGAGACTAAGGTGTGCCTGATTCAGTCTGTAGTCTTCACAATTACTTGCTATTCATCAGAAAGCTGGACAATGACTAGGGACGAAAGGAGGAGAATTGATTGCCTTTGAGCTGTGGTGCTGGAGAAGAGTATTGAATATACCATGGACTGCTAGGAGAACTAACAGGTTCATGTTAGAGAGGGTGAGACCAAGCTCCTTCTTAGAGGCAAGGATTCTGAAGCTTCATCTGACATATTGTGGGTATGTTGCAAAGAGGGACAAGTCCTTGGAGAGGGATGTCATGCTTGGTAGGGTGGAGGGACAGTGCAAGAGAGGAAGACCCTCGATGAGATGGATTGACTCAGAGGCTGGTGTAATGGTGGTAGGACGTCAGAGACAATAAGATTGGCACAGGATAGAGCAGGGTTTAGGGCTGTTGTACATAGGGTTGCTATGAGTCACAAGGGACTTGACGGCACATAACAGCAGCAACAACAACGAGTCAGGGCTCTTCACATATCTCCATTTACAGCAAGCTCTGGGCTTTTGGGGGAAGTTGGGGTTGGAGTGAGAGTTCGCTCTCTGGTACCAAGGCCAGGGCCCTTTGTCACTTACTGCTGCTGAAAAGGAAAACGTGGAGGACAGTGCTGAGGTGGAGGCCGGGAGGTTCCAGGTCTGGCCCCTGCTTTGTGCCCCTTGATGACCTTCAACTCACCTTTCCCCCCAACCCGGGCCGCAAGAACCTCCAATATGAAATAGGTGATGGACTATCTCAGATTTCCTTTAGGACTCTGAAGTTCATGATTAAAGTACTTCGCCTATGTCTGAAATCAACAAATAATTATCTCAGAGGAATAGTATCTGTGAAAAGTATTTTAATTGTAATACAATTTAGAGAGAATCATCATTGGGTTGGGAGGGATGTAGAACCTGAAAGATCTGGCTTTCTTCTTATCTTCAGGACACAAGTTGGATGGAACCATGAGAGATAACCAAATTTACTGGGAAATGATGATTATGATCTAAGATATGATCTAACATATGTACATATGTTAAAAATGCAAATATCAAGTTGAAAAACCTTGGGTTAGTTGAGAAAGTCATTCATATCTCTTAGGAGCGAAGAGGACATTTCAAGGTCCAATAAAGATCTGTAGGCGTGAATGGGGATGGTATTAGTATCTGACTTGGATGAATCAGGCAGTGTGCAATTTATTTATTTAGTCCCCACCCCACCTTGTTGTGTACCATCTAGTCTGATCTGACTGGCCCAGAAAATTGCCCCTCCTTCTCCAGAGGCGCATCTGGTGGTTTCAAACCACACACCTTTGAGATTGCAGTGCAGCTTCTTGCCACTAGGCCACCAGAGCTCCCCAGCACTGTGCCATTTAAGAGTGTCTAGCTCCACCTTATCCCCAGTGCAGCCTACTTCCCGCCCTCGGCGCCTCAGCATCTCCAAGGAGGAACGAAGAGACTCGCGAGGCCTTCCCGCTGCCAGGACCCGACACCGCCAGCCTCCCTTCCCAGCCTCGCTTCCCAGCAACAGCGGATCGACTCGGTCGTGGACTGTGGCCCTGCTGGTAGCCGTGCCGAGATGAACCCCAGCGCCCCCAGCTATCCCATGTCGTCTCTCTACGTGGGAGACCTACACCCTGACGTGACAGAGGCGATGCTCTACGAGAAGTTCAGCCCAATCGGGCCCATCCTCTCCATCCGGGTCTGCAGGGACATGATCACCCACCGCTCCCTGGGCTACGCGTATGTGAACTTCCTGCAGCCGGAGGACGCGGAGCGTGCTTTGGACACCATGAATTTTTATGTTATGAAAGGTAAGCCAGTACGCATAATGTGGGCTCAGAGTGATCCATCTCTTCGTAAAAGTGGAGTGGGCAACATATTCATGAAAAATTTGGACAAATCCATTGACAACAAAGCAGTGTATGATACATTTTCAGCATTTGGTAATATCCTCTCATGTAAGGTGGTTTGTGATGAAAATGGTTCCAAGGGCTATGGATTTGTGCATTTTGACACACAGGAAGCAGCTGAAAGAGCTATTGAAAAATTGAACGGGATGCTTCTAAATGATCGCAAAGTATTTATTGGACATTTTAAGTCTCACAAAGAACGAGAGGCAGAACTCGGAGCTAGGGCTAAAGAGTTTACCAATGTTTACATCAAGAATTTTGGAGAGGACATGGATGATGAGCGCCTTGGGCATCTCTTTGGCAAGTTTGGACCTGCCTTAAGTGTGAAAGTAATGACCGATGAAAGTGGGAAGTCCAAAGGTTTTGGATTTGTGAGCTTTGAGAGGCATGAAGATGCACAGAAAGCTGTTGATGAGATGAATGGAAAGGTGCTCAATGGAAAACAAATCTATGTTGGTCGAGCTCAGAAAAGAGTGGAACGACAGACAGAACTTAAGCGCAAATTTGAGCAGATGAAGCAAGACAGGATCAGCAGATACCAGGGTGTTAACTTATATGTGAAAAATCTTGATGATGGCATTGATGACGAACGTCTCCGCAAAGAGTTTTCTCCATTTGGTACAATCACTAGCGCAAAGGTTATGATGGAGGGTGGTCGCAGCAAAGGATTTGGTTTCGTATGTTTCTCCTCCCCAGAAGAAGCCACTAAAGCACTTAAAGAAATGAATGGTAAAATTGTGGCCATGAAACCACTGTATATAGCTTTAGCTCAGCGCAAAGAAGAGCGCCAGGCTCGCCTCACTAACCAGTACATGCAGAGTATGGTGAATGTCCGAGCTGTGCCCAACCCCGTGATCAACCCCTACCAGCCAGCACCTCCTTCAGGTTACTTCATGGCAGCTATTCCACAGACTCAGAACCGTGCTGCGTACTACCCTCCCAGGCAAACTGCTCAATTAAGACCAAGTCATCGCTGTACTGCTCAGGGTGCCAGACCTCATCCATTCCAAAATATACCCGGTGCTATCCACCCAGCTGCTCCTAGACCACCATTTAGTACCATGAGACCAGCTTCTTCACAAGATCCACGAGTCATGTCAACACAAAGTGTTGCGAACACATCAACACAGAGCATGGGTCCCGGGCCTGCAGCTGCTGCTGAAGCAGCTACTCCTGCTGTCCGCACTGTGCCGCAGTATACATACGCTGCTGGGGTTCGCAATTGTCAGCAACACCTAAATGCAGAACCACAATTCACCATGCATCGGCCTCCTGTTCATGTACAAGATCAAGAAGAGCCTTTGACTGCTTCCATGTTGGCATCTGTCCATCAAGAGCAAAAGCAGATGTTGGGTGAAAGGCTGTTTCCTCTTATTCAAGCCATGCACCCTACATTGGCTGGTAAAATCGCTGGCATGTTACTGGAGACTGATAATTCAGAACTTCTTCATATGCTTGAGTCTCCGGAGTTTCTTCGTTCTAAGGTTGATGAAGCTGTAGCTGTACTACAAGCCCACCAAGCTTAAGAGGCTGCCCAGAAAGCAGTTAACAGTGCCACTGGTGTTCCAACTGTTTAACATGATGAGGGACCATGAAAGAAAACTCGTGCTTCACCGAAGAAAAAGAACTAAATCATTCCTTTCTTTAATTTTGTAATTCTTTACTGTGGAATAGCTCAGAATGTCAGTTCTGAATTAGGTAACAGAATTGATAACTGAGCAAGGAAATGTAATTTGGATTATAAAATTCTTGCTTTAATAAAAATTCCTAAATCGTGGGAAAAAAAAGTGTCTAGCTCCCTTTAAAGGTCACTGATATCTTAGTTATCCAGTCTTCTGTAATGAGAACACCACATATGGGTGGATTTAACAAACAGCTGTATTTTCTCATCATCTAGGAGTCTGGAAGTCTCATCTAGGAGTCTGGAAGTCTGACTTCAGATGGCCAGCTGTTGGCTTTTTCTCTGTGTTGGCCATGGGAACAGAGCCTTGTCTCCTTCAGGTTCTGCTCCTACGTTGCCTTTCTGTGATGTACCATACTATCTACCTTCCCCACTCTGCTTAATCTGCTTTTTTATATCTCAAGAGATTGACTGAATAAACACACACACAAGTACATAATGTAAAGAAATTATTGTATACAAACAAGTAAAAAGATTTAAAAAAAAGAAAGAGATTGACTTAAGACACACCCTACACTAATATTTCTTCAATAACATAGTGAAGGAGGAGCTCTGGTGGCCTAGTGGCAAGAAACTGCACTGCAGTGCGTAGTTCGAATCCACCAGATACTTCTCTGGAGAAGGAGGGGCAAACTCCTCCTGCGCCAGTCAGATCCAATTCAACGGTACACCAAATTAAATGCCGCTATTGTGATTGTTGTGTGCCGTCCTGTCGGAACTGACCCAGAGCTGACCCTCCAGCTGCTTTTCAGAGGCAGTTAAAGGAATGGGAGGAGATTGCCCGTCTTTTTCCTGTGGAGTAGCTGGTGGACTCAAACCACATACCTTTGGGATTATAGAGCAACTTCTTCCCATTAGGTCATCAGAGCTCCCTACAGGTAAACCTGTTGCTTTTGTTGGGTACCATCAAGTCAGAACCAACCCATAGCTGACCCTCCAGCAGGTTTTCAGAGGCAGTTAACTGAATGAGAGGAGACTATCCATCTTTCTCCTGCATAGCAGTGGGTGGATTTGAACAGTGTGCCTTTGGGATTGCAGCACAGTTTCTTACCTCCAGGCCACCAGAGGTCTCCACAGGTAAACTTACTGCCATCAAATTGATTCAGTGACCTTTTATCAGGTTTCCACGGCTGCAAATCTTCACGGACGAAGATTGCCCATTTTTATCTTACAGAGTGACTGATGGATTCTGCTGATCTTTGGCAGAATTGTTACAAACTATGTCACTAAGCACTTTTTACTGCAAATGAGATCTATAACATCTATTTTTGAAGGACACAGTTCAATCCATA